ACCAAACGCATCCTAAAATAATTAACTTTAATAAGTTTTGTTCTCATTGATTTTACGATTAACGGCAAGTGTTGTCATTCTCAGAAGTGTCACTATTTTTTTTTACTTAAAAGAACTGGCGCTAGTTTTAATTTTTCTTAAGATAAGATATATATATATATATATATTGTAATAATTTAAATATATATATCAAGATATTAGAAAAAAATTATGGTAAACTATGTATTCAATCACTCAACTATCACTGTAGTTCTATTTTGATAACTTAACTATTATTTTTTAATATTATACCTAAAGTTACATTTTAGTCACCTTGTCGTTAAAAACTAGCGATGATTTTAATGTGTCTTCATAAGATAATATCACATCATCATTGAAAAATAAAAAATATCACATTAACAGTTTTGTTCATTTCTTCACGATGGGTTACCAAACGTAACATTATGCATGATTTAAAAAAATAATTGAGTGATCAAAACGAAATCGAAGTGATAATTGAATGACTAAATACTCAGTTTACCAAAAATTTAAAAAGTAATTCAAGATACCATCAAAATTGTTAAAGAAAAACAATATATGTTTTTTTAATAAATTTTAAAATTTTGAGAATATTTTTTTTCGTGTTAAAATTTGTGATTTGTCAAAAGTAACACGAGAGACAAAAGAAAATAAAGAAATAGCCCATTGTATCGTGTTATTTAAAATACAGACAAAAAATTTGAAATTATCCTTAATTTCTATAAAATTTATTAAAAATAAATCTTAATTTTTCTCATAATATTAAATTTTTGAAAAAAAAAATTTGTTGTCATTACAATTCCCAAGACTTTGTCTTGATAATCCAGATCAACCCGGGTCGTACACTTTGGTAGACGAGTCTCTTAGCAGAATTTTTTTGCATACATAAGAATTCGAACTCGAGACTTGCTTAAATCATATAAAATTGCTTACCATATGAATCAACCCCGTTAATTAAAATGCATATATTTTTTTAAAAAAATAGTATATAATTTTTTTATTTTATTTTTTTTCAATTTAAGCGTCTTTATCAATGCATCTAAGTTATTATAAAAAGGCTTTAATATAAAAAAAGTGACCAATTATATCTACCTTTTTTATTTAGACGTTTCAATTTTTTTTCGATCAAAATATCTAATAATACTAACATTATCATTTTAAATATTTTGACCTTAATTGACATTAAAAAAATAGTTAAAATTCAATCAATAAATTAATATTTAGGATGGACTTAATTTTTTTGGAAAAAAAATCATAATTTTTCAAACAAAACCTCAACTTTTCATTCTTTTTAGAAAATAATCCAAAATTTATAAAATTTCAAAATATCCATTCAATTCCGTTGTGGACCTTCATCATCGTCCATGATCAGCCATTCACTTGTCGATTATTCACTCATTGATCACTTATCGACCACTCACCTATCAATTGGCGTGTCTTGGGACTTATGGATCTAGGTTTAGGAAATTAGGGGATTGAGGCTAAAGGTGACGACCGACGATGGTTGGATAGGCCACTAACAGGGACGATCAATGAGTGGAGTTAATGTTTTGGGATTAAGGGTTTTGGTTTTTTTTGGTATTTTAGAGAAAGTTTGAGTTTTTAAATAATAATAATTTTATGGTTTTTAATGAAAATTAATATATATATATATATATATATATATACATCACGTGTCATATTTTGAGTGGTTGACTAATTTTTAATAGATTTTGTAACGTCTATTACGGTCGAGAAACTTAAAATTATAATGTTGACAATGTTAGACACCTACATTAATCGTAAAAAATCAAACACCTAAATGAGAAAAAAAAATATGATTTGGACAATCTTTTCCTATTAAATCTGATATAAATGCAATGTTTTTTATCTTAATAAAAATTAAAAATAATGGCACTTCTAAGAAAAATTGAAAATTCAAGCACTTACGTTAGACAAATTAACATCACTATTAATGTTTTAACGGTGGATGACCAAATCATAACTTAGGTATGACGTTAAAAAAATAATTGAGTGATCAAAATAAAACCAAAGTAATAATTGAGTGACTAAATATATTGTTGAGTGATAAAATTTAGGGTAAACTGCATAAATGATCATATAACTAAGGGTCGGGTCGCGAAAAGACCACTATTTTCAAATTTGGGTCAATATGACCACTTAACTATTTAAATGGTTTCAATATAGTCACCTGTCGTTAACATTTAACGGAAGCGTTTACGTGGCATTTAACAAAATTGATATAATTAGGGTGCAAGTCCTTGTAAAGTTATGTATTCGTAGAACTGGCACCCTACTTTGTTTTCTTTCATTTTGGTCACTACTTGTATATGATGTGTTTCCTTTGATTTTCATTTAATGCAATTTAACCCTGATTCTATCTTTAATTTGTTTAATGCCTTAATTTGAGCATTAACTTTAAAATATTTGATTGTAGTCATGTATTAAATTTATAGATTATAGCTAATATTATTTTATATATATTTTGGAATCAATGAAAATATTTTCATATATTATATATTATAGTTAATGATACAAATAAAAATAGACAAGTGAGAACTTAAATCTAGGCCAATTGAGAATATGATAACACTTAAATTGCTAAAAAATCTAATATATTATTTATAATTAATTTAAGATATTAATATTTTTAAATTAAATTTATCTTAAATTTATTTATTAATGATTATATATATGAAATTATATTTAAAATTAAATTAAAATTTTATTTAACATACCTGCATAGGGATGAGCATGTGTCGGGTCAGGTTAGGTCAGATTTTCGGTCTACCCGACCCAACCCAAAAATTATAAATCCTTCACCTGATCCGAACCCTACCTAATATTTGAGATAAAATCTGAACCCGACCCGACTCAAAACAACATATTTATTTAAAAATATTATTTTTATTTAATAAAAATAGAGATTTAATTGAAATAAAATAATATATAGAGGGGTATTATTACAATTATCCCTAAATAGTAAGGTAAAATTATAATTTTTTCGTGTCGGGTCAGATCGAGTATTTTTCACCCTACACCCAAACCCGACCTGACCCGAACATAATCCTAAAAAACACTATCCAAACCGAACCTGAACCCAATTTTTAAAAAAAAAATCCAACTCGATCGGATCGGGTCTGGTTAGAACCCGTTGGGTTTGGGTCCCATGCCCATCCCTATACCCAAACTCGCGAGCACAATTTAAAATCAAAAGATAAATTTATGATTTGAATCTTTAATAGTTTTCTTATGATTATAATTTGAATATTAAATTATATTTTAATGATTTTATATATATAATCATTAAAGAATAAATACGATAACAATAAATTTACTTTTAAAATATTGAAATATTAAATCAATTATAAATAAACTATAAGATTTATTTTAGTGATTTAAGCGTTATCATATTTTCAATTGACCTAGATGTAAGTTCTCACCTATCCGTTTTTATTTTTTTTATCATTAGCTATAATACATATATAATCTTTTAAGTTTTTGCCTTATAACATATGTATTATCTCAATAATAAGTGTGAGAATTAAAAATTTATCAAAACGCATCTTCATTTATCAATTCAAAAAGGTGAAATGTGTCACCTTTTGATTGGATTAAAAATTAATTAAATTGCATTATACAAAAGGTGAAAAGTATCACAATTTGATTGAAGAAATTAATTTATTATATTAAATTAAAATTAGGACCTAATTATGAATTAAAGTTGATCTTGGTGATCAAATTGATTAATTCTAAAATCTAGGGGATTTAATCTATAAATTTAATACATGACTAGAATAAAAGATTTTAAAGTTAATGCTCAAGTTGAGGCATTAGACAAATTAAAAAAAAAAGCAGGATCAAATTGCATTAAATGAAAATCTAAGGAAACAAATCATATACAAGTAGTGGCCAAAATGGAAGAAAACAAAGCATGGTGTCGACGCCCTAAATATGTAACTTTACAAGGACCCGCACCCTAATTATACCAATTTTATTAACTTCCATATAAACACTTCTGTTAAATGTTAACGGCAGGTGACTATATTGAAACCATTTAAATAATTCAATGGTCATATAGATGCAAATTTGAAAATGATGGTCATTTCGTGACCCGACCCTTAGTTATGTGGTCATTTATGTAGTTTACCCTAAAATTTATAGATTACCGTAAATTTTCTAATATAACAGTATATTGATTTATGCATTTAAATTATTATAAAATTAGGGTAGAGTACATGAATGGTCTCCTATCTATAAAGTGTTGTTTTATTGAGTATTTTGACTATTAAATTATAAAATGGTTTACCGAATATAAGTCATTATTTTTTTTAAGTTCTCTGACTATTAAAAGTTACAAATGTCACCCAACTATTCATTGTATTTCAAACTTGCCATTTTCTATTAAAAAGTTGATGTTAGTTTGAATTGGACATTAACTTGTTTACTGAGATATAATATAATATGAACCTAGAATCTCAAATATTATCATATCCTAGTCAGCAGGTGAATGTCCTACTCAAACTACCATCAAATTTTTAACGAAAAAGACAAGTTTGGAATACAATGAATAGTCAAATGATCATTTTTGTAATTTTTAATAGTCGGGGACTTAAGAAAGTAACGTCCTATAGTCAGAGGATTATTTTATAACTTTTAATAGTCAAAATACTCAATAAAGTAATATTCGATAATCGAGGAACCAGTACTTTATATTAAAAATATTTAATCTATAAAAATTATTATAAAAATATTCACATTTTAATTGTGAAATCAATGAAATAAAACCTGTAGTTTTCTTGTCCTAAAATTATAGGTGGGGCATTGTAAGGGGCACAATGTGAGGTAGAGGAATTCTGTTCATTTATTTAATAATTTCTCAAAATTTATAGTGGTGGGGCACATAGAAGATTTTTGTTCCACGTTCCTCGCTATAAAAAAACGTAGTCTAAGAACATAAAAGTTGAATAGCAAACCCTGCAACAATCACCATGGATCTTTACACTTTTCTCCAATCAATTGCATCCTTGTTGATGTTTCTATATATTTTCTCCAAACTAACACCCAAAAATCCCAAGAAAAATGGTATTCCCGAACCTGCTGGCTCATTGCCACTGATCGGCCACCTCCATCTCCTAAGTGAGAAAGAAACAGCCTGCAAGAAGCTAGCTACAATGGCGGACAAATGCGGCCCACTCTTCTCACTCAAACTCGGAATTCACCGAGTTTTGGTGGTAAGCAGCTGGGAAATAGCCAAAGACTGCTTCACCACCAATGACCTAACTCTGGCCACTAGAGCCAACACCGCGGGCGGGCGGCATATGGGCTACAACAACGCCATCTTTGCCCTCGCCCCATACGGGGAATATTGGCGTAATATCCGAAAGATGGTCACCATTGAGCTTCTTTCGAGCCACCGTTTGGAGAAGCTAAAGCACATACGTTTCTCCGAGATGGACTACTTTATCAAAGACTTGTATGATCTTTCACGAAAGGGTGCTGAGAATTGCGCCGAAATGGTGACTATCAGCGAGGCGTTGGAACAGTTCACGTTCAACATAATCCTTAGGATGCTCGTTGGAAAGCGATTTTCCGGTAGTACTTGCGCCGATAAAAACAGCGAGCCGTGGCGGTATGAGAAAGCTATAAAGAAAGCGATTTATCTGTTCGGCGTTTTCATGTTGGCGGATGCGCTGCCGGGCCTTGGATGCGTTGATATTCAAGGGCATATACGTTCCATGAAGCGAACAGCCAAAGAAGTTGACTCGCTAATCAGTGCTTGGCTCGATGAGCATCTCAAGAGAAGAAAGGAAAACCAGGATACCTGTGAAAGTGACTTCATGGACGTCATGTTAAATCACCTGCCGGAGGAAACTGTAATCTCAGGGCATACTCGCGATACCATTGTAAAAGCGACAACAATGGTAACAATTCATATTTAAACAAACAGTTTTAGGGCATAATTTTAAAATTAGTCCTCAACATTTATTATAATAGTCATTGTCATTGTGACCCATGTTCATTTCTTTTCGAACATCTTTCTCTAACGTTTCATTTTGGGACAAAAATATCCTTTATAAATAAAAATTGCTAGTGAACAAATGGTTAGACATTTTTATTATAAAATGAATCGTTGATATCAAAATACTCTAAAAAAATATGGGTCAAAGTGATTATTCAGTCAAACATTAGGAATTCTATGGTCCTAAAGTCATGACTTCTTTCAAACCTAATATTTTTTTTAAATATTAACATAACGTCAACATTCACCCTCAATCAACTAACAATTTTAGGATAGGTGAAGCATATAAGACTTATCAAGTCCACAATAAACATAGACCGTTAATCAATTAATAATTTTTATCTAATTAGAAAATACTTTGTTAAAAAACGAAATGTTAGACGTGAGAGTTCTTAAAAAATAAAGATTAAAATGATTATTTTGTTAAATATTAAGATTTCTTTTTTTATTTTATAATATGCTTATTTTTATTTGGAATTGAAACTCTATTATTGAGTGCAGATTCTTACACTGACGGGAGGAGAAAGCACATCAGTGACGATCACATGGGCACTTTCTTTGCTACTCAATCACCCAAATGTTGTAAAAGCTGCTCGAGAAGAACTGGAGCACCAAGTCGGAACCGAAAGGTGGGTGGAGGAATCAGACATTAAGAACCTCAAATACCTACAAGCCATTGTCAAGGAAACCCTACGCTTATACCCACCAGGTCCCATCACTGGAATCCGCGAGGCAACACAAGACTGTCGCATCGCCGGCTACGATGTCTCGAAAGGGACTCGTTTAATCGTCAACATCTGGAAACTACATCGAGACCCACGGGTTTGGGAAAACGCCGATTTGTTCCAGCCAGAGAGGTTTATGACAACACATGCTCATTTGGATGTCAGGGGTCAGAATTTCGTGTACATGCCGTTTAGCTCCGGTAGAAGATCGTGCCCTGGAATGACGTTCGGACTGCAAGTGGTTCACTTGACGGTGGCTAAATTGATTCAGGGATTTGACATTAGGACAATCGATGGGATGGCTGTGGATATGGAAGAAGGCTTAGGGCTTGCCCTACCCAAGTTGAATCCTCTTGAAGTTGTCCTCACCCCACGCCTGCATTCGGAACTTTACGAGGGACTTCAAGACATAAAAAAGTACTAGAGATTTAGCTTTTTTATGCATATGTGAACCTAATCTTATATTTTTACTTGCTAAAGCTGCAATATCTTTATCAATAAAATTCTCGTCTACTGACGGGTGTAAGTGAAATGATAATAAAAGTAAAGAAATTATGCTTGTAATTACTTGAAAAGACTTTCAAATATTTTTTTTGAGTGAAAAAGTAGGCCAAAGCCAGTAATCTATATTGCATCAGTAGAAACCGAAAACAAACTATACTTATCACGAGCAGCCAAAAATTGAAGGACTGCCCAAGTGTCATCATATGGTTCTAACTTAGGGTTGTTTGTTTGTCTCTTAATGAAATCATTCAGCGTTGAATGTTGAACCGTTCAGCATTCAGCATGTTTGTTTCGCATCTCTGAATGATTCAGTGCTGACTGATTCAGCAAAACAGTGCTGAATAATTCAGCACAGAAGTACATTCTGAATGATTCAGAGCCATTATCAAATACTATGTCATATTCAGAGCTAATTCATACAGAACCTCTAAATCATTCAGCGCTTAATCAATCAACGCTTAATCATTCTGAAATAAACAAACAATCCCTTAGTCATTCCATATACAAGAGTATAACATTCCTGAGATATTTTACCAATTAAATATGTATAGACGGGTACGGGTGCATGAGATATTTTACCAATTAAATATGTATAGACTGGTACGGGTGCATGAGATATTTTACCAATTAAATATGTATAGACTGGTATGGGTGCAATTCAACATAATGTTAGTGAATTATTTGTATAAGATTCATTTATTTAGTTAAATAAATAAGTGTGAAAGAAATTTTGTTCATTTAATAAATGAACCATGCATAGATACAAACACGTTCATTTACCAAATTCTCAATTTTTTTTCTTTTATTATTTATATTTTAAATATCAATGAAGGTAGAGACTAAATTAAATACATGATAAATTTTGGAGTTCGAATTTTGAAACCTAAGTAGCTTAGGACTACTGATGTAATTTCATTATTTTAACGAACATGCTCCGGCTTTATGGATTCAGCTAGTCATTTAATGACAAATTTAAATAAGGAGTTTCGGTAAAAATGGACTAAGGGAGTTAACGAACACCTGTTATAGTCAAATTCACACGAGCACTCAAGAATCTCATTTTTAGATCGATATTTCTACACTACCTTTGTTAGAAGAGCTTACAAAACTTGAACAAATGGAAGATTTCATAGAACTGAAACAAAATTATTCTGAAAGGTCTAGCCATTGATTATGCTAATTGTGTCATTTTTTTCGCCTCCAATCAAAATGTCAAATCAAGAAAAGGGTATGCCATGATCTTCACGATGACCGAATCAATGAAACAAACCTTAATAACCCACCTCTCAACCAACTTTTCGATCTTGATATTTGTCAAAGGTTTGCAGCTATCAAAGATTAAATGAGCATTTGATTCTTTTGATATCCAATGAACTTCGGTTTTATGATTGCTTCAATTGTGAAACCTAGAAGGAGGCAATATTTCTCAAAACTCCTTTTGATATTTTTCAAAATTTTGAAAATTCAAAGGAAAAAGCATTTTTAAACAAGATGAGTTCTCTGGAAGCATGTCTTGGAAATCAACGAATATTTCTCCGAAGCTCAATATTGAAACTGGGGCAGGATAAGCCAAATTTTTGGGGCAAAATTTATTGGAGTAAAGAAAATAAATTGTCTTAGGTTGAGGTTTGCAAGAGTACACCCTGGTGGAAATGAAGACAAACTGAGAGAATGAAGACTGCTCACGCAATTATTCCCTTCAACGATCAACATTCTGTTTTAAGCATATTGAAGAATCCAAGATCAAGAATAAAAAATTCAAGATTCCAGCATCAAGAGTCATCAAGTCTGACAACCAGGGATTGAGATTTCTATCCAAACCCTAAAATAACATGTTTTGCATATACATTTTAGGCATACATAAGAGCATCGCATCCATAGCATCACATATGTGCATAATTTTGTAGATTCATGCTAGAGTCAATTTCAACTTCAGAGTGGAGGATATTGAACTCAAAAGAAGTGCAATTTACAAGTGTAGATATGAACTTCACAACGAAGAACGTCCAATTAAAAGCTCAATTTCACAGCGAATGAGCCATCCACGATTTCAACTTCACGAAGAAGAATATCGTGCCTGATAAAGTGATTTAGTGTCACAACAAACATGCCATCCGCAGATTTGACTTCCTTAAGTCAATGATTAAAGCTTCTGAAAGGATTTCCTTAACATGCATGAACAAGCAGATTATCGATCACCTTTAAGATTGTTTCTCTCGAAACAAGGGGTCGCCTCGCTCAAGACTAATTTACTGAAAACAAAGTTTTGTCTCTCTTGAGACGGTTTCTCTTAAAACAAATTTTGTCTCTCTTGAGACATTTTCTCTTAAAACAAATTTTGTCTCTCTTGAGACGGTTTCCCTTGAAACAAAAAACTTTGAATTTGTTTTCCTTGAAACAAAGTTTTGTCTCTCTTGAGACAGTTTCTTTTAGAAACAAATTTTGTCTCTCTTGAGACATTTTCTCTTAAAAAATTTTTTGTCTCTCTTGAGACGGTTTCCCTTGAAACAAAAACTTTGAATTTGTTTTCCTTGAAACAAAGTTTTGTCTCTCTTGAGACAGTTTCTTTTATAAACAAATTTTGTCTCTCTTGAGACATTTTCTCTTAAAAATTTTTGTCTCTCTTAAGACAGTTTCCCTTGAAACAAAATCTTTGAATTTGTTTTCCTTGAAACAAATCTCGTCTCCCTTGAAACAATTTCTTTTAAAACAAATTTTGTCTCTCTTGAGACATTTTCTCTTAAACTTTTTTGTCTCTCTTGAGACAGTTTCCCTTGAAACAAAATCTTTTAATTTGTTTTCCTTTAAACAAATTTCGTCTCTCTCGAGACTGTTTCTCTTGAAAAATTTTGTCTCCCTTGAGACGGTTTCTTTTGAAACACAAAATCTTTGAATTTATTTCCCTTAAAACAAAATTTTGTTTACCTTGAGACCGTTTCTCATGAAACAACAAATATCTTTGAGATCGTTTCCCTTGAAACGAATTCTGTCTCTTTTGAGATAACTTCTCTTGAAGCATCATCTGAATCATGTCATTCAAATCAGAGGCAAATCAAATTTACAACATAGCTCAAGGCAAGAAGGGTTATTTATCAAAACTGACGAGTTTGATTCTATTCAGCTCGATGCCGCATCAACCACATGGTGGAGTCCAGGAACTACTTTCTAATACTCTGAGTTCGATTTCAACTTCATGATGAAGGATTTCGTGCTCAGAGTTTTCCAGTTTTGACTCAACCTCACGACAAGGGAGTCATTTCGTGATCCAAATCAACAAATCGTTCTTAATATCAGATTTCAACTCTACGATGGAGGGCATTCGATAAGGACGAAATTTGTGTCTTTTAATTTTTGCTCTATTTTCGTTACACGATAATTAGAAAAGAGGGGCAGTTGAAGACACTGAATTTTGACCGTTAATATTATATAATATTATTTTTAAACTATATTATATAAATATATATTTTTTTCATTAATTCGGGTTTTATGTTACATTTAAAGGCCCAACAAATATTTATAAACCCTATTGGCCCACTTGTGTTTGACCTAACAAGAAGGCAGATTAGGGTTTCGGGTGTTATAGCACCGTTTTTGTGGTCAACCGAACATCTCCATCAGCGGAACAAGTTGACCGAGGACTCCTCATGATCCACGCCTCACCAACTGCTCAACAACGCCCGATTCTCTCGACCACAAGCAACGGTCGTGGGTTCCAAGCAACCAACAAGCATTCAAACAATAAATTTCAGTTTGAATAGGATTCTATGACTAAAATAGGATATGTGTAGGCTATAAATACAATGTAATCCATATTGTGTTGGGGAGATAAAAAAAATCACGGGGAAATTTTCACACGAATACTAGGCACAAATACACACGAAAATACCCAGAGATTACACGCGGAATACTCAAAATACGCAAGATCAAAGGCTTGTAAACGTTAGAAAAGAAAGAAATAAAGAAAGGTAATACCTTTTCACCTTTAGTTCAGCCGATTCTTCTTTGCATGCGTGGTTGCCTTGTTGGTTTTGCTCGAAAGAAACAAAAATTATGGCCAATGAACAGAATGAGGCCCTTATTTTCGAAACATTTTTCTTAGATCTACGCATTTCCAAGGGTTTTTGAAGAAACCAACTCTGTTTTTGAGTAGAGGAGGAAAAAGCTTTTTTAAAAAATATATTTTTTTCTGTGTTTCGCCGCCGATGACGGTGGCCGCTCGTCGGCCGTGTTCTGGGTTTCCAAGGCGAGAGTTGGTACTTAAGAATGAAGAACAGAGGAGAGCATTTGTTTTGAGGGTAGGGATTTCATTTTTTTTAAGAAGAAAATGAGAAATTAAGCCAAACCCATAAACCCTGGGATCTGCGTGTTTTGAAGCATAAATGGGAAAACTACAATCTCGTCCCCCTGCGTCTTAAATACCTTTATTTTGACCTCAACTTTGCTTTGAATTGATCTCTAATTTCGATTTTCTTTTTAATTTGGCCACATAATTTGCTTTTTATTCAGTTTAATCCTTATGCTATTATTATTATTATTTATCTATATATATATACACGTATATATGTATTATTATTATTATTATTATTATTATTATTATTATTATTTCATTTTCATTTTATTTCCTATTATTATTATTTTGTTTAAACATTATATATATATATATATATATATTTCATTTCTATTTTATTTTATTCATTTTTTTATTTTTTTTATTTCTACCATTTTATTTATTTTGTTTTTTTCATCTTCATTTATTTTACCATTTATTTTTATTTTTTTGTTTTGTTTATTATTTTCATATTTATGCATTTTTATTTTAATTTGATCATACTTTTCATCCTGTGTAACACATTTCTTGATTTCTTAAGGGTTCACTTTTAAATCAATCAGCGATAACTTTTGTCTCGTTATTTTACCTTTTAAGTTAAACTTACA